AGGGTTGCGTGCGTGGGTATAATGATTATTATCATTTGCCTCTTGGGTTCCTAATGGAACATAGGGCTTCAGTAGCACGTCCCCAAAGCGCTCTGTTCTCTGAAATCTTTTCAACCTGACTCCACGACAGCCCACAACCTCTCATTTCCTCCTCACACGATCTCATCCATGTCACCCTCAGCTGAGACGCACAACTCGTCGCTTCCCATCTGGTTCCACTCGAGTTCCTGGCCTGGAGCATGATGTCTCCGAATGGCCTTCTCAGTATGTGCCCAATCCATCTCCACTTCCTTCCACTGCATATTTGTTGAGTGATAGGTTCTTCGTTGGTTTGTTGCTAGCCAGCCAGAGTTCCTTGTTGCTTACTCTTGTTATTCTGGTCATCCGATCTTCAGTATCGAGTGGGCGTAGGTAGCAGATGTTGATGAATATTTGTAGTTTGTTGGAAATGCCTTTCCTAACGCACCAAGTCTCTGAGACATACAGAAGCACTGACTTGACTGACGTTGGTGTTGAAAATCCGGATGTTGTTCACACTTTATGCTGAGTTCGGTGCAGAAGATCTCCACACTGGTTTCAGGATAATGAACTCCTGTCTTCCTTTTCCGATTCTGACTTTGACGTCCTCGTCTGTGCCTGTGCCACCTGTAGTTGAAACAGTGTTGCCTAGATATGTGAAGGAGGCTACTTCCTTTAAGTTTCTCCCGTTGATGGTGACTGGAGCTTTCTGTTGTTCGTGGTGTTGGTTGGGTATCATCATCACCTCTGTCTTCTCTACGTTCACTTGAAGTTCCGTCTTCACTACCTCATCTCTTCTGCCAACTTGTTGGATTTTACCTGTAGATCTTCAGGTTTGTGTGACATCAGACACAACTCATCGATGAAATCGAAATCTTCTAGGTTCTTTTCCCCGGTCCAGGTGGCGTATGCCCCTCTTCTCATTCCCCGCTGTTTGCTGCATGATCCAGTTCAGTCGACCACCATCAGGAATAACATGGGTGATAGTAGGCAACCTTGTTTCACTCCTGCCTTTACTTCAAAAGCATTACAGAGCTTCCCATTGTGAATTACTTGGCATGTGGCATCTTCATGTAGTTGTTGAATGAGACTGATACAGGTTTGCGGTATTCCGTAGTATTGAAGCAGACGCCTGCCAAATTATTTCTCGCTCGATGCTGTCAAGGGTGTTTTCAAAGTCGATAAAGTTGAGGTAGAGAGTTGACTTCCATTCTATACTCTGTTCTATGATGATGCGCAGCATGGCGTTGCAATTTGGTCAGCACATGATTTGTTCTTCCTGAATCCAGCCAGCCAGCCTGTTCCGATCGTAGTTTCGAATCCAGTGCATCCTTTAGCCTCTCCAGGATGATGCGGCTTAACATTTTGCTTGCTTTGGGTGGACAGGAGAGTGATTCCGCGCCATTTCGTGCAAACACTGAGGTCTCCCTTCTTCGGCAGTTTGACAAGGTAGCCCTTCTTCCAATCAATCTGCAGGCACCTTCCCTTACTTCCACACCTTCTGCAATAGTGGTGTGGTGTGAACATGTCCACTGTTGTCTCTGCGTCTGTTTTCAGTGCTTCTGGCGGGATTCCATCTGGTCCAGCTGCTTTCCCACACCTCAGTAGCTTTTTGGCGTTCAGGACTTCGACTTTCGTCGGAGGGCTTGTGTTCACTTGTAGTTTTGTGGCTGCAGGTGGTGGTCGATTCAAGAGCTTCTTGAAGTGGTCGGTCCATCGTTTCCTTTGCTTCTCTTCTTTGGTGATTAGATTTCCTTCATCATCTTTTATTGGTTTCATCTGTGTTGATCTCTTCCCTGCCAGATAGTAACCTGGTTATTTGATACAATGTTGTCAGGTCTCTGTTTCTCCTACCAGCAGCCTGTTCTGCTTCACTTGCCAGTGTGTTGTGGAAGTGTCTTTTGTCTTTCTGCTCTCTCATCTTCACATCTTTGTCCAGTGTTTTATAGGTTTCAATGAGTTCCTCTTTTCGTTGTGCATCCTTGCACTGATTTATCTTCTGCTTCACCATCCTCCTCTCCTCTATCGGTTTCTATGTGTCCATCGAGATCCATTCCTTATCTTCTTTCGTCTCCCTTCCTAATACGGTTGTGCAGGTCTCTTTCCACATCTCTTTCAAAGACTTCCAGTGTTCTTCCACACAGGTTTCTTCAGGGATCTTCCTCGATATCTCCCATTTTGTCTTGATGGCTGACGTGAAGATTTCCTTTGTAGTTCGTCTTTCAGTTTCCGGGTGTTGAGCTTGAACTGTGGTCTATCACCAACTTCCGTGAAGGATTTCAATTTGATTTGGAAGGTTCCTTGCACTAGATAGTGGTCTGAGCCTACATCTGCTCCTCTTCTTGACCTTGTGTCAAGTAGGCTGCGTTTCCACTTTCTTCACATTCAGATAAAGTCGATCTGGTTTTTAGTGTGTCCTGGTGTCTGGTGAAATCCATGTCGCTTTGTGGATATCCTTGTGCTTGAACACACTGCCTCCAATTACCAAATCGTTGAATGCACAGAATTCTGCAAACAATTCTCCATTCTCCTTCATCACCTCACCTAGTGCTTCTCGACCCATAGTTAGTTCTCTTCCTGTGTTGTCCCCTCCCAGTTTGGCATTCATGTCGCCTATTAGAATTTTGATGTCACCAACTGAGGTCTTGTCCAGTGTTGATTGAAGTTGTCTGTAGAATCCCTCCTTTTTCTCTTGCTCTGCATTATTTGTAGGTGCATAGCATTGTATGATTGTGACCTTCCTTCCTTTTGAGTTGAACATTGCTGTCATGATCCTGATGTTGGAGGAGATTGGTTCCCACTGCATGAGAGCCTTCGATGCTGTTGGGGACATCATGATAGCCACTCCACTCGAAAACTCAGTGTGCGGTTGGTTGTTGTCTGGGTGACAGTATCGGAGTAGATTATTGATTCTCCAGTTGACAGTTTGAAGAGTCCACTCCCATTCCATCTGCTGTCGCAAATTCTTAGCACTTCAATGTGATACCTCTTCATCTCGTTTACAATCTGGGCTACCTCGCTGGGTTCAAACATGGTGCGGACATTCCATGTTCCCACGTTTACTTTCGCTTTCATCGAGAGAAGACACGTCGGCCAGTTGGCTTCCCAAAGGCCTTCACCAACTGGCGTAATTTCGCCTCTCCGATTCCAGCGAGGAATAATTTTGTTATTATTTTTTATATTTTATTTGTTCTTTGAAGTTTGTTTAGTGGTTAGATTTGTTTTCCGGGGTAGGGTTGCTAGCCCTATGCCGAACCTTCACTCGTTACCCGGGCTTAGGACCAACTAGTAACTAGTGAACTAGTTAAACAAGCTAGGTTGGGTATAATATTACTGAGACTCAATAGACACCTCAACCGAATACCTTTACAACTGACCTCCCTCAGTACCTTCTGCTTCACTGAGCCGCGTGGAAATCAGAAGACAAAGACGGTCTGTGACTGCAAGAACAGCGACAACAACAACTTTTATTTAACAAATAAATAACATATATGTATTTACAAAACTCTCAGAAAGTGAAGCCTTAAATGAACCAGTCCGATTTCTCGTATTAGGTCGAATTTATCTAATCAGGTTCTCAAGTGAGCGCAAGCATAAATCATGACCTGAACATGATCTGATCATGACTTGAAAACAACTCCCCTATTGGCTGCCTTTTGTCGCTACGTAACAATAGTGATTGAGTTTTAGTTACTGGGTGACGTTTTGAGCACAATTTATTTCTCATATTCATATCAGAGTAATCATACAACTTTGAAACCACCTTTATATTGTTGCTAGGGTGGCTTTTAAAGTCACCCTAGAAGACTGGCTGGGAAAGAGTGACTTTACAGGCTACCCCAGCAAGAACTGAAATGACCAGTCAGGCTTTAGTATCTCACCAGGAAAAGTACTTTTCCACAAAATAAAGGAATCTAATTAACTGTCTTATCAGTTGCTAGAGTGGCCTTTAAAGTCACTCCGATTTTAAAGGCGACTGGTGAATTGACCAATCAGATGTCACGGTTTCGGCTGCGAAGGTAGTTTCACATAGAATGTAGGAAAGCAATGGGTTATGTCAGCAGTTGCTAGGTTAGCCTTTGAAACCACTCTCTTCCATTGAATTTCAGCTCATTGGCTCAATGGCAAGCTGTTGTACCTGAGGGTCCCGGGTCCCATACTTCACGGGGCCATAGGTGTTTAGTGCTAGGTAGTCGTATATCGGGATACAACAGCTGTTCCATTCTCCATTACGAATGCCAACTTGAAATAGGAGCTGAATTTATTCTGGAAATCTGTTTCAGTCTTACTTCTATGATGACTTAGATAGCCAAGCACAGCTATGTGAGTTAATCGAACTTTTAATGATTACTTGCTGTCTTCATTGAGACGAAAACGGTTGAATAAACATTCCGTTCAATTAAATATCCACTGACATGACAGTAATGGCAAGACAGATGAGCACTAAGTCTTGTTAATAGATGATTATTTGAGAACTGTCTTCAGGTTCTACAGCGAACTCGTTAACCATTCAGCAGTTGGGTTGGAGTTCAAGGTCTTCAGATGGCATCCATTTCCTTTCCAACTGGTTGACCCTACAGGTCATAGCTTCTCATATCAATTTCGGGATATTTAACTGATAGTCGTGATATGTCGAAAATTGACAGGAATTGAAAACCTTAAAACAGTGAACTCTGATCCCGATCCTGAGTTTGATTCTTAACCGGTTCGTGGGTGTCCACTTCTGAGGAGTCTCATACTAGGACTAAACAGTTATCTACTGCTCTCAGGTTTTCAATTGCTTCTCCAACTGATGTCAGTTTGTGTTGAACTGCCATTAACTTGAAATTATACATGTGAGAATCGTCTTCATGACTTGAGTCTTTACTGAAGTAATCACAAAGAGAAACTGTTTCAAGCATATTATTGTTCTCCCTCCCCGCTTCTCCCCCCCCCCCCGCCGTTCACTACGCTTCATATTCTATTTCATTTTTTCTTTCAAGATTTTATTGTCCAAATGAAATAATGATAATGAGTCATCATGTTACTCCACCGTTAGATGATAATGTACAATTGACTGTATCTGAATACCGGGATAGATTATATCAGGTAAGCGTTGAAGATATTCTAAAGAAGTCTTTATTGAAATTATTTATGAGATAGATAATCATTATTAGAAATTTTTTGGTGTAATCGATAACGTTTTCTATTTTGTAGAAGGTATACTCGCCACTTGACAAACACATACACACACACACACACATACAAACGCATACAATTGACTCTAGGACACTGAAATCATTCACCCCTGATATTTCACAGTTTAGTATTTCATACTTTTAGACTTTTTATAACGCTTAGCCTATATAATATGACTAACATTGAATGCTATTGACAGGTGGATATCCTTTCTCTTTCTCTCACACACACACACCTTGGAAGTTTAGCCTAAGGATTTTGATTAAAATATGAAGAAATTAGTTTGTAGCTCAATTACTACAACGAAATCAGCTATTCTTATTCAATACATTGAATATTCTCATTTAGATATTTTGGAAAAAAAGACTTGATTGATTGAGTGAATGAAGAAATCATACTCCTTTTCCATTAGGTCTTCATCTTGGGCTCTATACTAATATATAGGGGGTTTACAATTTAATCAGATTGCCAGTCAAGTCGTGGGGGGTTGGTTAACAATAATCATGAAGATGATAAGTTCTGCAAACTAACATGTAAATAATCTATTATTATTAATAATATTTGTCTCTTCGATTCCTAATGGAACATACGGCTTCAGAAGCACGTCTCCATTACACTCTCTTTTCTACAATATTTTCAGTCTGGCTCCACGACTGCCCACAAGCTTTCATTTCTTCCTCGCATAGGACGCTCAACTCGTCGTTCCCCATCTGGGTTCCACTCGACGGCCTGGCCTGATGCGTGATGTCCGCGAATGGTCTTCTCAGTGCATGCCCAATCCATCTCCACTTCCTTCCGCTTCATATTTGTTGAGTAATAGGTTCTTGCTTCATTGGTTTGTTGTCAGAGTGACTTCCTTGTTGTTTATTCTTATTATTCTGGCCATCTGAGCTTCAGTAACCAGCCAGCGTAGGCAGTTGTTGATGATGTATGTGTGCAGTAGTTTGGAAATGCTTTTCGTAACGCGCAAAGTCTCTCAACCGTCACGTAGAAGCACTGACTTGATTGGCATTGGTGTTGAAAATCAGGATGTTGTTCACGCTGTGTGCTGAGTGCAGAAGATCTCCACATTGGTTTCAGGTGAATGAACGCCTGTCTTGCCGTCTTTCCGATCCTGTCTGGCTTTGACATCGTCGTGTGTACCTATACCGCTGGCTGTAGTTGAAACGATGCTGCGTAGGAGGGTGGTTGAAAGTGGCAACTTCCTTTAATTTTCTCCCGTTGGTGATGATTGGTGCTTCTTGTTGTTTATGCTGTTGTTTGTTGGGTATCTTTATCACCTCTGTATTCTCTACATTCACTTGAAGTTGCGTCTTCGCTGCCCTGTGATTTCTGTCAACTTGTTAGTTTTCACCTGTACATCTCCGAGTTTGTGCGACATTAAACATAATATATATATATATATATATATATATATATATATATATATATATATATATATATATATATATAATTGTTATGATTAATATTATTACTTGTCCCTTGGGTTCCTAGTGGAACACAGAGCTTCAGTAGCACGCCTTCATTGCATTCTGTTCTGTGCAGTCTTTCAAACGTGGCTCCACCAATGCCCACAACCTCTCATTTCTTCCTCACAGCATCTCCCCCATGTCATCCTTGTCTCGGACGCGCAACTCGTTGTTTCTCATCTGGGTTCCATTCGAGTTCCTGGCCTGGAGCGTGATGTCTCCGAATGGTCTTCTTAGTGTACGCCCAATCCATCTCCACTTCATATTTGTTGAGTGATAGGTTCTTGGTTGGTTTGTTGCTAGCCAGCCAGAGTTCCTTGTTGCTTACTTTTGTTATTCTGGTCATCCGATCTTCAGTATCGAGTGGGCGTAGGCGGTAGCTGTTGATGTATGTCTGTAGTTTGTTGGAAATGCTTTTCGTAACGCGGAAAGTCTCTGAGCCATATAGAAGCACTGACTTGACTGACGTTATTGTTGAAAATCCGTATGTTGTTCACACTTTATGCTGAGTACAGTGCATTAGATCTCCATACTGATTTCAGATTGATGAAAGCCTGTCATACTGTCTTTCTGATCCTGGTTTTCACATCCTCATCTGAGCCGCCGCCCGTAGTTGAAAGGATGCTGCCTTGCCTAGGTAGGTGAAAGAGACAACTACATATATATATATGGGAAACAAGACATTTTTTCTGATATCACCCTCACTTCGCACAGGTGATAATTGGTATTCATAATCTTCTTCTTTAAACCGAAAACTCTTCTAACCACTTAAAAGTAAATATTAGTAAAGATGGGACTACTTTCCACAGTCACAGCTTTTTAGGCATTTCCTTCTTGTAATCTTCCAACTCAGTGATACCTTCCCTTTTTAGTCTTCAATGGCAAAGTTAGTTGTCTGAGTAGTCTATACTTATCTTTGAAGTAGTTGTGTCTGCTAAGATTTAATTTTTAATTGAATGTATTCTTCGAAGGAAACGCTACCACTTTATCGAGTAACCAATTCCAGTCGTTGATTATTTTATGGGAAAACTGATACCCCATTCGAAGATTATTCAGTCATGACTTTATGATGATTCCTAATGTTGTTGGTTCCTCATGAAGGTAAGAGACCTCATTAACTGATACCTAGATTACCATTCAAGATACAATATAGCAATAATAGATTACATCTATCTGTATAATAAGCGAAAAAAAGCCTCAACCTTTACTAATCACTTTTTATACAGAAGGTGAGAAAGATCTATTACCAGCTTGCTATCTACTTATTAAACCTTTCCTAATGTATCAGCTATTTTTATAAAGCATAGATCGGTTGCCTAGAGATTGTACTCTAAATGAAACATTGGATTCATAGGATAAACACATATAAATATATTTATATTGAAGAATCAAAGTATGCGAAACAATTCAGTTGATCAAGTATTACAGTTTGTATTATACAGAACCAAATCAATTGCATTTCTTTTGGCAACAACTAAGTATATTAAACCTTATTATTGATAAAATGTAATAAACCTGAATAACACAGTAATATATTATTACTAAGTACAGTAAGGAAGTTTTCTTGGGAAGTGATTGTATTTCTCAACAATACTGGATTCATGTTTCGTCCTATTTGGGACTCGTCAGCTGGATGTACCTGCACCTCAGTGATGTTGTTCCCACTGAAACTTGATCCTCGTGCCCATCGCTTCGAACGTCAAGGCGTTATCCACTAGGCCAAGGAGGAACGATAGCCACTTCTTGTACAACAGGTAGTAGTTATTACTATTTATTGGCATACTTGTTATTCTTCGTTGTTTTGTTGGATCGAATTGTTCCAGCTGACGAGTCCCAGATAGGACGAAACAAGCGTCCTGGGTTTGTTTTTCTGCTAGCCACAACCAACCAAGTTATCATAATTAACATTCAGACAATATCGAGGGATCCCTATGGGAGCCCGTATGTCAATGTAGGTCGAACAATTCGATCCAACACAACAAACAACGGAGAATAACGTGTATGTCAATAAATAATACTGGATTCACTTCACTTTTTTGCTGATTTACAATCCTTCCTCTGTTTTATTGACTGATATGTTATCGCTTTAATAAACTCAACTTTGTAATAATTGGGTCGGTTACAGCTAGCGGTGGAATCCAGGACTGACATTTCGTCCTACTTTGGACTCATCAGCTGCGTGTACCTGTACCTCAGTAAGTGATGTTGTTCCCACTGAGACTTGAACTTAGTACGTATCGCTTCAAAAGCTACACTCTCATCTAGTAGGTTACTGAGGTAAACACCACCAATTATTGTACATTGGGCATTAGTTACTATTGTTTCTCGAGACTTGTAATTCTCCAGTGTTCTACTTGACTGATCCATGGGAACAATATCACTCACTGAAATACAACTACATCCAGCTGATGAATCTCAAATAGAACGAAATGTACATCTTGGATTCTTGGATTCAATCTCGAGACATTCATATCGGAGAATTGTGAATATCAAGAAATAATAATAAAACTGGAAATATTTAATCAACATTCTGACTCAGTGGCTCAATGGTAACGTGCTGGCCATGGAACTTGAAGGTCACGGGTTCGATCCTTGGCGGGGTTGTGGGTGCGCACTGCTGAGTCCCGTACTAATCGGACAAAACAGCTATCCAGTGCTCTCAGGTTTTCTTTGTTCCTCCAACTGATGTCAGTCTACGATGAATAACAACTTGAATACTTAACTGTTGTCACACTTCACTATCTCATTATTTCTTTCTTTCTCTATTGTAGATGATTCGTTCAAAAAGACCAGAGACAACAATATTACATGAGAATAATAATATGTCCAAAATTGATCTTAATGTTGTTAAATCGTCAAAGCATGAATTATCTTCAATTCCTATATCAATTGATCATAAATCAATTCAACAAATCAATATATCATTGAATCCCTTTAACACAAAACAATCAATACAACAGCTTAAAAATAATCATGATAATTGTACAACACCATTCCAAGTACAAGTTGATTTAATGCAATTAAAAGTACAAAATAATCAATCAATAATTGATTCTAATAAAATACCAATTACTAAATTAACGACAATGTCAACAACAACAACAACAACGACAACCTTTTCGATTAGTAGTGATAATAATGACAATACTAAAAGTATGAATAATAATAATGATACCATGACAAAACCAAGTTCACAACGATTATGTAATCAACAGATTATTCATAAGCATAATACTGTTAATACATATAAAAATGATTATGATAACTATTATGAGAATGATAACGATGGTGAGATTCGTAGTGTTGTACAACAGTCAACATCACCATTTCAACAACATCATTTACAACCTATATTGAATAGTACAATGATATATTCCAATTCTCCTCTCCTTATTGGTCATAGTAAGGGGATACGTTCAAACTCAGTGAATAAACTACCAACAACACAGTAAGTTGTACTTACATGTGAATTATATTTTTTTAAAAACTTACACCTTATCAGATAAGTATAGTATGATTTTATCATATGTTACTGATAGCCAGACAGCTAGAGAGACACAGAGTGGTCCCCATGTATGATTTTTACCACTACCGCACCCAAATTGCTTCCCGGTAGATTCAGGCTTTTTGACATATGCGTCAACTTGGATACAAACAAAAACACAGACAAGTCATGTAATTTCCCACTTAATGTAAGTGCGCTCGTTCCTGTGGGTCACCTTTTTTTGCACATGCGTACATCTGTGTAGTGCTACACAATAGGGACATTCCAGCACACACCTGGATATAACAAGTTCCACCGTCACCATCCAGCAAACATACCATGCATCTCGATTTGCCGTTTCGAACATTTACTGGTGGTCCTCTGCTTTCCCATACTTCAAACCTCTTGGGGGCACCATTATCATAGACGGCCAGAAATCAAGTTCAATGAATTTTTCCACTAACCCCCGGGATTGTGAAAGGCATCCTCCTTCCTACAATGGCTGTGCAATTTTGGTCCACCCCGGGACTCTCGTGAATCCCACATGAAGCCAAAGGAGGTAACCTGCATCCTCGGTGCGACTTCGGAGTCCGTTTCGTTTGCTCAAGATGGCCCTGTTCATGTCACACATATGCAGACGAACCCATACACTGATACGTACTGCCCTTGCCCTCAGACATGCACGGGAGCTCACCGAACACATCAAACGTTTTAGGACAGTGGCGGTTTCACTTGCACATTACCATAGGGATATTTTCTTTCCCCCGTACATTTTATTATTTGCTACTAATGAAGTGCTGCGGTCATCAGAGTCGACGGAAGATTCCAGGCACCCCAACCGTTGCCCACGAACTTATTAGTGTATTCGCTAGTCCCAGCAGCAAGAGTTTGAGGTCGATTTGGTACTCTCACCCTTATTCGAAGTGTTGGGCCAGCACCTATACATAGTACAGGGTAGAATATGCCGGACCCTTACACAGAATGTCGACAGCGCTTTGATGTATGACATCCCAGTGTAATCACAAAGTGATTTCCCATATATTTTGGTTTTCCAGGAGAGAACATCAACATACCGCAAGGGTTTTTGGAACCAAGTCGATATACAGACTCATCCTGTGGAGCAACTACACGGGTGCCTTCATCCCGGTGGACCATTTACATCACTGGTTTATATAACCAGGGTTTTGTTACGACCCAAGGGTGCACACGACGCATGATCGTATGTCTACCTCATGGGACGGATACCTTTTAGGAGGGAGCCTCATCCTGTAGTGCAACCACATGGATACCTATCCCGGTGGACCATTCGCACCATCTGCTTGACCAAGTACACATGATTATTTTCGATCAACGATCGCGTGAATCAGTGCTTTGTCAAACAGTCTTTGAGGTATTTTCGAAATGGAACCTGTGATATATATAAAGTAACGAGGTGTATAGGTGACCACTTCGTACGGTTGATTAGTTCGCAGGTTGATGTCTGCTTAACAGCAAGAACCACGAGAAGGTTGACCATCTGTAACTTACAATCAGAGGTAACAAGCTAGGTAGCCGCGAAAAAGCTAGGCCCAAGAACCTTAAACCAAAGTCAACCAAATGACGAGGCATTTGGCTACCTTAAGAAAGTCATAGTTACTCCCGCAGACAGCTAGAGAGAGACAGGGCGGTTGATGTAGACAGTGGCAAAAAGGAGCATCAGGATTAAATAACCACAATTTACCAGGATATTCTTAACCATTAAGAGATAAAGAATGAAAGTCTCTAATCATTGCTTTTTTTTTAATAATTTGAAGATCGCCATAGATTATTCCGAAGAAGAATAATTTGAGCGAACAATTTTTTTTCACCAATTTCTTCTGCTTCTTCAGGCTGTGTAATTATTAATCCATGAGAATAGGTGAAGTAAAACATCCGAAATAAGGCATCATGTACAATTACTACTATACTGAGACAGTCAATCAGTGTTGTGATGGGTGAATGGAGGCAAATCAAATCGAATGGAATGGTGGAATATTGATCAATTTAGTGTATTATTTATGCAATGAAATCACTATTAACAGAACAATTACGAAATGAGGAGACGAAATCTGTAAATAATGATTCCTTTTATACTGGGTGATGATTGAAAATGAGATGAAAATTTTGGAGCCCAGCTGGATTCAAATTAGCTAACAGATATCTCCTCAGACAGTCAAATGATAATCAATATGATGCTCCCCCTTCCCTCTAATTCAGTTAGATTTCCATTTGAATGAGAAGTCTTGACTAAGCAACCAGTGTCAATACAATCAAGCGGTAGTAACGCGTCACGAATTCATATGGTGGTCTGGCAAAATCCTTGGTGATTGAAGTGAAATAAGGAAAATGTGGTCAGAAGTCGAACCTCATAGCTCAGTTGGTAGAGCACCGGGCTGGTCACCCGGTGATCACTGGTTTGAATCAGACCGTGGTCCAGATTTTCATATGACCTTCAATCACCACCCAGTATCAGTAATACTAGTTTGCCAAACTACGGCCATCTCAGATAGTCAAATGATAATAATTATGTCACGAAATGGCGAATAACACAGATGCGAAGTGTAACGTCATGGTCGAAAATGACTACCAGTATTGGGCATGAAACTGCTAGTTGGTTGGAGGCAATTAGCAGAAAGCCCTGCTTGACCTAGGTTTCGTGCTTGTTGGCACTCGTCAGCAAGGCGTTTCCGCAACCTCGACGGAGCTGATGTCGTGCCTGAGATTCGAACCCGTGTCACCCACTGTTGTAGTCAGCAGCTTTATCAGTGAGCTGGCTGGACTAACTTACACGTATTGATTGGTCACGGGAGTGCAACCAATTTCATGTTGTCTAGTCCTGAGTGCAGTCCGAATTCTATCGATCATATTTGCAATGTGGCAACCAAGCTAGGAAGCTCACCATCGCGGGCATAAAACTAATAACATGAGAAAATGAATACTTATCCATGTAATGACAATGGAGAAGAAAGAGGTAGGAGGTTAAAATGTATAATTTATGGTAGGGATGTTCATAAATAACGTGTCGACCCTATTGTGGGTCAAGATAAACAAAGTGGATGTACATATTTCTTTTGAACACATAGGTCTGACTTTCTTGCATTGATCCCTATGGCTTCGGCTATGCATGGTAAGATGTGAGGTCGTACACCGTTGGGGAGATTGCAAAGGATATGATGCATCACAGAAAAGGCGTGATTTACCTTGGTCTAATGTCCGCTGTCTACTAGATGTCAGAAGATTGTACTGTTCACGAACGTGCGTGGATAGAACTGTTTTAATACGGCCTATGTAAGTAGCTTCACAGGAGCAGTTGAACTCAAAAATGCACATCGAAGTGGCCAGTATTGGTAACTTATCCATGGTTAGCTGTGTCAGTAGTGATTTGGTTGAGAAGTTGAGAAAAAGTTTCCTTGCTTTGGATGTCTGTTTGACTGATCCACTTGATCGATGTGTTAAGATATCTGAGGCAATATCATCTTTGAAACTTAGTCTAAGATATTTAAACATCTTAACAACATTATCTTTCTTAATCTTCTCTCTAGGTTTCAATTTGTGTTTATTTATTAAGTTTGACGGATACTCATTTTACTACAATGTTATCGTCAGCTTATTCATTTTAACTTCTGTCACCAAGTATTATGTATTCCAAACGGATATAATACACACGCTCCACTGACAGCTAACTTCGTAGGCAAGAACCACCGACTGCAACCCGGGACAGAAGGTGAATGATAAGAGAGTTTATTCCTTCGAGTATTTTAATCAATAAATTAATTAATTCAAAATCACGTGAATATATATACATACACTTGACATATGACCTTGTCCGTGATTGGAGACATTAGTATGGCAAGAGTAGGGGTCAACCAATCAGCGAATTACATTACAAATAGGGGCAGAAAATAAACCATTAGTCATACAGTAAAATTGGTGTGAAAATGATGAAAATATACAGATCAATCACAATGTTGTTTTATGCAAAACTGGGGCCTTACAACGCATTTCTTCTTCAATACCAGTCATCAGAACAAATGTTTCTTATTCTGTAACTCAGACGTCTGACCAGATTTCTTTTTCTTGATTTATACAGTTTAAGTAGTGTTTGTAATGTCTGCTATGAGTCTAATAGAGAATAATCTGGCTAATGAATTTTAATATTACCATAAATCCTACTGGGATTATTAGTTGTTCGTATTAAATTAAACCATTTCGACTCATCTAGAAACGACTTCCTTTGGCGTATTGGATCCACGATGGTTTTTTTTAAAACCTTTCCCATAATAGTGTTTATCAGTGTTTTCACTTCTTCGTATAGTCCCGTTTCTTATATGTTTCTTGACTTTCTGAGGATAACCAAATTTGTTTACCACATCCATTGAGTTGCCCTTGTCCGATATAGCAATTACTATATTTGTACTGAGTGATGACTGAAGGTGAGATGAAAATCTAGACCGTGGCCGGACTCGAACCAGTGACCACTGGGTTACCGGCCCGGTGCTCTGCCAACTCAACTACGGGGTCCGACTACTGACCAGAATTTTATTTCACTTCAATCACCGGGCCGGTAACCCGATGGTCGACGGTTCGAATCCGGCCGTGGTCCAGTTTTTTTTGTCTCACCTTCAATAGTCACTCAGTACAAATAGTAGTCTCAGATAGTCAAATCATAATTAGTATATTGTTGTCACTTCGAAGATTCTTCAAAGCTTCCACTTCTGACCTAAATAAAATTTGTTTTTCTTTTCATGTCGCTTAAGTGTCAGAGCATATTGTGCTAGAATCTCATCAGCCACTGCCTTATCTACTGAACTTAATGCTAGTTCAGTTTTAGGAGTGACATCTTCAGGTTTCAATTCACTGACTGCTACATTGGAGTTAAATCGCTTCTCCAGTATCTTTACTCCTGTTGAGCTTAAAACCTTAGTTGAGAGGTTGATAACCCACTT